CACACAAGGCAAGAGAGTCCTGTCTATTTTATTATTAATCAATAACTGGGTAAATTCGTACTGTGTATTGTCTTTATCACACTGTTTTAAAAAGTATTTATATACCCAGAATTTAGACTAGTTTGGACACATATACATCTACATTTATATGTTCGGTTAACATGATAAGATTTCTAAAGCTTAGCATTATTTGATACAAGGTTATAAATATCAAGAATTCGGCAAGGATAAAATCAATAAATCAATAAAATCTGCAAGAGTAGCTTCTTTCCAGTACCACTGCTGAGGTCATGTTAAGAGATTTATATATCCAACATCTAGCCTTATTTGACAATAGGACACACCTTTAAAAGAGTAGGAAAAAAAAGTTCTTAAAAACAAGGTCCTTTTGTTAAATATTTTTTAGAAGAATTGTATCGCTGTTCCAACATGCCGGGGTTGACATTTGGGGGCAGATGGAAAACAAAACAAGGAATTCGATTTTGATTGTTTGAGCCAGCGTGAGAACTATATATAGAGAAAGGGATTTTAGGGAGTTAAGTTTTAACCATCGAACAATGTAGACGTGTATCCATTCATGTATGCTACAGCATCTAAGTTGGAAAGAGCAACCTCACTGGATATGTAAAAATATACACGTCAATATGATTAATAAAATAGATGAGTTAAAATTCCCATTGTTGATGTCATTTAGGACTCAAAACAGCTAGAGATCACCGGCCAGAAGAAGTTGAGCAAGAGAAGAATGGTCACCATCCTTTCAAGAGCTCCTAGCCCAAGGAATCTATACAACAGTATTAGTACAACTTTAGTGTGTATGCAATCATCACTTTCGATATATTAATATTTGTTCTATTCTGTTGAATACCATACATTTTTGCGAAAGATAATAGAGTAATTATGGCTGTCCTCTTCACATTTAGGAATTCAGTTTTAATCTTTTAGTTGCCACTTAAATTTTAGAAGCCAGTCTAGACCAAAATAGTAGAGTTTATCAAAATTTAAAGTGGTTAGTTTATACCAAAATAGAGAACCGTTTTATTCTTTTAGATTGGTAGACACTCAAAATCTACAATGCCTGGTCATCCCATATAAGAGGAGTGTTGTCATATCTGAGATGGAACAGACCAACTACCACTTGCTCTGTTTGATACAGCTCAACTTCGTCTTCGTTGCCTTGAGGGAGATTAATTGTATACAAACTTAAAACACCTTTCACGATGATGATGTACAATATTTTATGATTATTAAGCAAATGACATTCTTTTCACCATTGAAGAATTTTTAATTTTAAATAAAGCCTAATGTAACATTCTATTTCTGCTACAACGCCAGAAAGTCTACTAAATAAAGATGGATGACTAACCAAAGGAATAAACTACCAATGATATACAATTCGCCCATTTTTATTGTTTATTACATGACGTCAAAATTGTTTCACGCAGGCACATATATGTTTTGCGTCTTATATGTGTTGCTATAACGATAAGGGATTTGATATTAATTCAGTTTTCTTTTCTGAGATGTTTTATATCATATCCAGCTACAAATCATTCGTTATTATTTGGGAATTACAAGGGATTCTCTGCGAAGATAGAGTAGGGGTTTCATGTTGCATTCTCGGCAGGCTGAAATTGAGAATTTTTTTTTTTTTTTTACTTTTTCTCTTAGACAATTTCTTCCGCAAGGCAAGAGGGTCACGTATACTATGCTATTTGACTGCTTGTTAATGAGAAAAGAAAGAGATACACGCTTTTTGCAAGGCCATCCAGGTTGAACCAGAAAAAAAATCCAGGAGCTCGACAATAAATAATTGAGAAAGTTCCTCAGCATTCTCCTACTGGGATCAGAAAACCAATAACTATGTATAGAACAAGTTCAGGAGATGTCATAGTTTGGACACGTCACACGGCATATTAGCCTCTGCATGACTACCATGCAAGGAACTGATGAAGGCGGACCTAAGCGGGGATGGCAACGCAAAACCTGGTTAGGCAACATAGAAAGAGTGGAAGGACATGAAAATAGGACAAGTTCATTTTTCACTTCTCTTAGAAAATCAACGTAGCACTCGGTGCAACAGCCGTTGTTCGATAGAATTATTACTGACAGAGAAATATAGATTCTTGACCATTATCAATTTCTGAGAATTTAGTTTTAAATTCTTCTGAAAAATGTACAGAAATACCTCATTTCCGCTGTCTTACTAAATTTTATTATTTCAAGAAGAAATCCAAATAAAAATGATAACTTTTTGTATGAAATACATCGAATAGAAGATACACCCAGACCTGATTTCTAACAATGAATTCCCAAAAGAAAAATATTCCTTTTTGGTTTTGTATTCGTTAAGCAAAAACTGTAAAAACTGTAAAAGATTACAAAAAAGTCTAATCAATGAATAAGATCTTATACGATTTGTTAGATCATTATTAATGAAATCAAAAAATAAAGAATCTCTCTATAAAAGACAGAAATGTGTGTGTGTTTGTGTGTGTGTGTAATGAATGCACGGCTTCAATTTTCAACGGATTTGCACCAAAATTTGCATGCACATGTTAGCGGGAAGGCCAAGACCGACTTTGCATTTCCCAACTCCCATCGATAGTGGAAATAATTGATTTTTTCATGCTACTACGGCTGTTTTCATGTAGTTTTCGGCCATTTTTAATGGCCAGAGTGAGAGCCAATAGCTGGCTGTCACGAATAGGCAGGAATATTCTATTGGTCAGCGTGAGTGCCAACAGCTGATTGACACGAAAGTTAACTAGCATGCTAGCAAATCGATAGCTGCATTCGTCACAAGTGGGACAAATTTAAATCTACATGGCACTTTACTCCAATTGGTTCATTCGCTTGCTTAAACTCAACGTTGATTCTAATTCTGCAGAACTGGGTTAGGTGTGAAAAAGTATTTGTTAACATTTTTTTTCTCATTCGGTTTTCCATTTACGAGTCCTTTTTTTAAAGCTGATCTTTTTGTGTTCATTTTGTTTAGTTCTTTTTTCGTAACAGATTTAATGTTTAGTATAGAGCTTAGAAAAAATTCGCAGTGTGAGATAGGCAAAAAGTAAGGCATGTAGCAACATCAGCACGGCAAAGGGCACTCCTTTAAAGGTAAGGAAGGGCAAAAATATTTTAAGTCAAGCGATAGCAATTGCTGTATGAGTCGTACGATTTTTGAATCAAGCACGGGCAACGCCGGGTCATGCTGCTAGTCATGTATATAATACCATAATACTGCTGAGCAGTCGTTATTATCAGTCAAAATGTTTAAAATTTGCATTGTTTATAGACACTCACACTGAAACTATAATACCGTGTAATAAATTACATAATAATAGAGCTAAATTGTTCAGTATAACTTCCCCTTGAAGTCAGTAAAGTCTTATTTGATGACACGATGTTTTAATAATAATACGCTTGTGCCAT